GTTACTGCCCATCTCTGCTCAGGTTGATAGAGGGGGCTCAGTCTGGATCACATTCCAGCATTTTGTAGGCTGGTTTTCCTACAAAACACAACAAACATTAGCCAGCAAAGCCACAGTGAACAAAGCAGCATAGCAACGAATTCACTTCAAATCAATATAAGACTTATTTGTAACCTACATCAACAATTATGTTATGATAAATTACGTAATAACTACAACAGAAGACTGACCTTTGTGGGAATGCTTGGAGCAGACTAACCTGTGAGCTGGATGTTCTGGGACGTTATATTTGCTCTTTGAATGGCTGCAATCCAGGCCATCCAAGGCTCTGTTACTTCGGCAACACGGCTGAACAATTTCTCTTCCACGACGGAATCTGATAAAAACCGATCTCTTTACCCGTTGGCTTCCCGTGGCTGTCATGCGACCGGCTATTGCAGTTAATAATACAACAGCTTCATGCCTTTCTTTGTGTTTCTTTTTATCGCTGTGTGACTGTTTTAATGTGAAAGCCTGCGTGCGCTAGTACCGCTTGTCACTCGTACCTACAATCCTTTGTGGTTTTACCCTGGAAATGACGTCGCATTTTCAATCTCTATTATGGGATGTTGTAGTGCTCATGAACATGAACTTTCTTCTTTGTTATGATGTGATATAATAATGAGGCAATTGAGCTGAGACCAATTAAGTTAATAAAATACAATTGAACATAATTCACATCAAAAATACAACCTTGGTGTGGATTTTGAAAGATACAAATCTCTCTTTGCTGTCTTCTCTTTGACCTCATCTCCCAACAATTCATGATAAAGTAATTGAAAGGCAATAACAGTGGATTAACCTGTAACTCCTGATCAAATGATATGAGTTTAGATTTCAGGTTTTTATGGGTTGATAAGAGAGAGCATCTTGTCAGATCAGATTACATGTGATACTTATGTAACAGCAGTAACATAGGTGTCAACACTGGAAACAGCAACACTGAGAGTAGAGAAGCAGGTATGCTGACACAGCTCAGTGTAGCCTGAGATCCTTTGTGATGCTGCTGCGTTGCCTGACTGCCTTCTGCCTCGTAGGCAGCCTTTTCTGTGCTGCTGTCCCACTGCGGGACACTAGAAGAGCTCAGCCCACCAGGAACAAGCTGCTGCTCATCTCCTTTGATGGTTTCCGCTGGAACTATGACCAGGATGTGGACACCCCTAACCTGGATAAGATGGCTAAGGATGGGGTGAAGGCACAATACGTCACACCGCCCTTCATCACCATTACCAACCCCACGCACTTCACTTTGCTCACAGGTATTTAAAAAGTCTTAACGTCTGGATAATATCATATTCTAGAGAGCTTAGATAAGTTGTTGAACCTTACTGGTACAAAAACAGAGTTGTCCATGAACGCGTATAAACCAGTCCTCGTTTAGACCAACATTAAGCTGCAGCTGTCTGATGAAGCGCGCTGAGATCAAGCGTGGAGGCGACTCTTGATGTGATTTGAAACTATAAATAAATTGAATTGAAAAAGAGAATGATATTAGAGAGATATTAGTTATTCACTTAGGGCTGCATGGTGGTTAGCACTGTTCATGTGGGTTCTCTCTGAGTACTCCAGCTCCCTTCCAAAGTCCAAAGACATGCAGTTAGTGAGGTTAGGTTAATTGGGAACTCTAAATTGCCCATAGATGTGAATGGTTGTCTGTCTCTATGTGTTAGCCCTGCCACAGGCTGGTGACCTGCAGGGTGTACACCACCTCTCGCCCTAAGACAGCTGGGATAAAGAAGAGGAACTAGAAGGCTATGTGCAGCTTTATCAATAAAAAATAATAAGATATGCCTGACTGCAAAGATCACTGTGAATTCATTTGATTTATACAGACATCACTGATGTCTGATTAAGAATTAATCTAATAAATAATAGTTATATCGCAGTATTATTAAATGGTCTGTATTTTGTATAGCGCTTTACTAGTCCCTAAGGACCCCAAAGCGCTTTACACATCCAGTTATCCACACATTCACACACTGGTGATGGCAGCTACGTTGTAGCCACAGCCACCCTGGGGCGCACTGACAGAGGCGAGGCTGCCGGACACTGGCGCCACCGGGCCCGGTGGTGGCCCGGAGGTGAAGTGTCTTGCTCAAGGACACAACAACTGAGACTGTTGTAGCCGGGGCTCGAACTGGCAACCTTCCGATTACAAGGCGAACTCCCAACTCTTGAGCCACGATCGCCCCAAAGCAATTAAAGCAATGTTGTTTCACTATAAACTATCCCTACTCGTTTCATCTAGTGCATTAATAACATTCACACCATTGGTTTGAAGTATACTTTATACTTTGTCCTGGATACTGAGGAGTAAGTTGTGCACAGGTTTCCTTTCATAATTTGTGCTTCATTTTTCTAAATACGACTGTGGTTGTTGTTCAGATGTTACGAAAGTCTCTGTGTCTGGTATTGAGCAGTGGCTGGACCACGGGTACACAACAAACCTCCTGCTAGTACAAAGAGATGTCGATTTAGCTCAGGTCTGACCAACTGTCCACTGTAGTGGATGTGATGGTAGATGCACCTTTATTTCCAACGAGCTTCTTCAGCTGAGCCGCAGTCGTCCCTGCTCACAGTGGCAGACTGACTTATAGAAACAGAATTCAAACAAACACAAATAGAAAAAGTCTTTTAAAAAGATGAAGCCAACGTGATCTACATCTTTGTACATAAATCTGAGAACAAACACAAAGGATCACATTTTGATGTTAGCGGTTGATGCGTCTTATAATCCGGTGTGCCTTATGGTCCGAAAAATATGGTATATTACCGAAGGACTTTTAACATTTACCCTTACGTTCTCCTAACGCTCCTCATTAGTGTTTCTTTCTTCTGTCTGTCAGGACGCTATGTTGAGAATCACGGAGTAATCCATAACATGTGGTTCAACACTACTACTCAGGAGAAGAAGGGGTACTACATGACTCAGTTTGTTGATTCATACTGGGACAACGGCAGCTTACCCATCTGGATAACAGCACAGAGACAGGTTCTTTAGATTTGTCTGTACCTTACCTCAATGTGTCATGAAGCTGTTTCCCTTGTTTTAATGTAGTTTAATGTCCTTCCTCGTCTCCTACATCTCCTTCCAGGGTCTCAAAGCAGGATCTCTACATTTCCCTGGCACAGCAGCCACCTACAAAGGGGAGACTGTCAGGGTGAGGGAAGTGGAACCACGTTTATATGATTATTCTAATGAAACAGAGTGGAGGCTGAACATCGACAAAGTGATTGGAGAGTGGTTCCACCAACAGGACCTGGACTTTGTCTCTTTGTACTTTGGAGAACCAGATGGGGCTGGGCACCGATATGGACCAGATTCCCCAGAACGCCGGGAAATGGTTCAACAAGTGGATCGTACTGTGGGCTACATCAGGGATAAAATCCAAGATCGTGGCCTTACTGACCGACTCAACGTTATTATCACCGCTGACCATGGGATGACTACTGTTCTACGAGGTGCACAGGTTGACGAGATCATCCTCTATAAGATTCCTGGTTTCAGCTTCAGTGATATCCAGTTCCATCTGGTGGACTATGGACCTGCTGGGATGCTGCTTCCTAAGGATGGGATGCTTGAGAAGGTCTACAGTGCCCTCAAAGGAAGTCACCCACATCTTCATGTGTATAAAAAGGAAGAGATGCCAGTGTGGCTGCACTATAGTAAACATGCTCGACTCCTTCCCATCATCCTTTTTGCTGATCCTGGATACGTAATCAATGGGGTGAGAGAATGCATGCCCATCTACTTTCTGAAAATGTGACTCTTTAGCATGTGGCTACAACCCAACACTGTCCCTAGTCAGATCACCCAAGACTTAGTGGACAATAAGAGGTAAACTCCTGCCATGCTCTTAGTATCTCTGAAACCTTGAAGATAACATCAACTACCCTTTTGCACAGCATGGTGTGATCCTACTGAGTAAAACGTGTTTGCAAAAGCTTCCAATCATAACTCAGGGAAACAAAAATGATCAAATGTATAGTTACATATACTTACTCTTTTCCACAACTCATGGTTTTCTCTGTTTTCTCTCAACTTCTAGTTCTTCCCTGTGCAGTTCAACAAAGGAGAGCATGGCTTTGACAATCAAGTGATGGACATGAAGCCTTTCTTCAGGGCAGTTGGGCCTGATTTCCAGAAGGATTTAGTGGTTGGGGCCTTTGAGACTGTTAATGTGTACCCACTCATGTGCCATTTACTAGGAATAAACCCAGAGATCAATGATGGACACCTCGACAATACCAAGCAAATGCTGCTCCCCAAGAAAAACACAGAAGGTAACAACAGCACTGGCAAATTTTATGCTATAGAGATAAAAGATAAAGCCCCATTTTTAAATGGTAACTGGACTGACTTACACAGCATCAAACTACTGGGACCAATCCCGATCCCTAGCTATGACTGCTTGTTGGTGTAGGTGATTTTAGGTGTGGAGTATTTCTTTTATTTGTACAAACAAAACACATAAGTAGCACCTCGGATACATAAACACCATTTTTGGTGCTAAAAAAGATCTTTTTTCTCAGTCTTTTTGCACAGATTTTATTTGTATGGAATGTTGTGGAAGTTTTCCATTAAATAAAGCCTGCATACAAGCGGTGAGCGGCAGCTAACATTCTTTAATCAAAACAAAGAACAGAAAACCAAGCTTGTGGAGAGCCTGCATGACCTGATCTTATACAAGCACCAAATCACAACAACAGTTGTTTTATTAATGTAATTTAAGGACTCTACAACAATACACAAAAAAATCAAAACATAGAAAACCACAGCAATCATATGACCCTTCTACCCACATAGCAAGCAGGTCTGGCATGGATCTGGTATCAAGCCGGCACTGCTGGCTGACTTCTGGCATGATAAGACGTATGTCATCCAGATATGGGCCAGGCCTGGCATAGATGGCACTGTTTATGTGATGGCATGCCATATCTGGCTCGATTGTGGTTTGGCGTATGTGGCCCAGGCTCATAGAAAACAGGTCTTTCCTGGGTCCAGCATCAAGC